AAAAGACTTACCCCTCTTAGAAGCAGCTCTGGTAACTCTAGTAGAAGAGGATGAGGCTATAGGAGTAGTTTTGGCAGCTGTGGAAAGAGAGGGGATGTTCCCAACTGTTGTTGATTTGGCCTTCGAAGGCACTCCTAACCTTATCAGTAAGTCATGAGGATGTACGGATAGGCGCACTTCCATATTGGCTGTCCACCAATTTTGAAATCTTTTCAGAGTCAGGCTGGAAGGAAGGAAGGGGATAAATTTGAACTCGCTCATTTCTTTCAACAGTCTGAATGTTGCTTATTCCAGTTTTGATTTGGGTATTCTCAGGTCTCCAGCTGTAAGATGGACATTCGAGAGACTGCAGAGTGGAATGGGAATCCCCTGAGTTAACCCAAATTGCCTGGAAAATTGAGAAGGACAGTACACCTCAGCTATACACTTATAAGCTCAAGGGTTTAAAGTGCCAATGAACAGCTCCCTTGGCAGCAAAATAGAAGCCCACATGCCTTTGTGGGGTGGGGTAGAGCACTCTTTATCAGCTAAGAATGTTCGTAGCCAAGCAAGTCTTTTGTTGGCATCAAAGGGGCAGAAGAAGGTAGTAGGTGGAGAAATAGGAAGTTGGTGGAAAAAAGTGAAGTAGTAGGCAAAGGAAGCATGATAAAGAACAACTCTGGCATATTTTTCCCCATAAGTGCTAGGGTCCTGAACAAGGAATCTTAAGCATTTGGGATGCAAATCAGTGAAGTAAGCAAAGAGCCAGAGTTGAAGCACACAAAGGGGACCCCCTTGGTTCACATCAAGAGGTTTCTCGGAAAATTGGGAACATGCTCTATAAACATGGCCTAAGAGATAAGGAGCCAGGGCTATGCGTTTTTTCAAAACAAGTGCCTTCGCAAGTGGAGCGAACTCAGGCATAATCCTCTCAGATGATGTATAAAAGAGAAATTTGCACAACCAGTACAAAATGAAGGAAAAAAAGTTCTCTATCTCTCACGGGACCTACCCTTTTATTTTTGGCCTTTACAAAATCACTGTAAGAGGAGTTTAAGGGTAGAAGGGAGAACTTAACAGGAAGGTCTGGATAGCCGAGAGTGAAAGGAGAGCCAAGGGGTGAAAGCTCTAAAAGATGGCAAATATCAAGAATGGTGGGAACCATCATACCACACCGAAATTGGAAAAAATTGAAAGCCATGTTCCAAAAACAAAGAGCAGCGGGAATCAAGAAAGGGTCTTCAAGAATGATAAACCTGGAAAGACAGAGGGCATTGAGAATACAGAGCTCTTGCAGGTCGTCTTCTCGCGTAGGTACAACTCTGTCATACCATTCTTCCCATTCAGCTCTCAATGTCGGCCAGCAGCGATGAGGTCGGGTCACCTTCCGATTTCCCCAGTCGAGCCCTCCTTTATAGTGAAGAAAATGGTCCTCTAGACGAGGGTATAAAGCTAGAAGTTGAGCAGGAGCCTCTCGAAAGATGGGACCCAAGACGTATTCTTGTTTGTTGCTGTGACGAGGAACGAAGATGCGGGCATCTATGGTGCTTGACTCATCAGATGTTAACTTGGCGATCTCTTCATCTATACATTCTTTCAAAGCCATGGTTGGGCTTATACGATCACCAGCAAGCACTTTCAAAGAAGAAGAGTCCATTGGTAGCAAGCAGCAAGGAAGAGGCAAGGAAGAGGGGGTTAACAGAGGAAAATGGTTTGTGTTTTGAGCGAGCGAGTGATTTCAGAGCACGAAATAAAAAGGGTTTTTAAAAAAAACCTTTGTGTTCGGAAGATATATCTCGTAATTCGTTAAGTACTAAAAGTACAAATACGAAGAACTTCCTTCAATATTGATACTTTAGGAGGGAAAAACACATCCCAGATGTTGAAGCCAGCTTCGAAGTATAGTATTTGGCTTCGAAACCAGATTTTGGCGCCAAAAGTCAAATAATAAACAGCTTCGAAACTAAGAAGCCAGCTTCGAAGTACATTCCATACTTATGGATGTAAGAATGCAAAAGTATTCGTTTACTTCGAAGGGATTAAAGACCTGTTTTAGGTTTCTCAATTAAAGCAATGTCCTTCGAAGCAAGACTTGAGATCCCTTAAGGATGGGAATTGTTGTTCGAAACATCAAAACCAATATTTGGTTTGTATTTAAGAAAGATTCTCTTTCTAGACTAAAACAGTGCAGCTCTAAAAAGAAGCTTTCATATTTTTGAAAGTATGGACTGTTATTCTAGGGAAAATGGTCAATTTAAAACTGATTGATCATACTGACCATGACCATATGTTGGCTATGATCGAAATAAACTTTAAGGGGTAGGACTGTCGAATTCGAAGCATTGATTCTAAATGAAAATCAGCAAAAATTGTCAACTATTATTCCATAAATTGGAAAAGTTCATGTTGGTTTTTAGTGTTTCATTTTAAACAATTGAGTCCAGATTCAAAGGATAAGATTGTTCAGTTCGAAGCCCTGAATTTGCTTTTAAAGACAAATGGAGACAAGATCAAACAATGCCAAATAAAGAGAAAAGTCTTAGTTGTATTAAAGCAAAAACAATTACATTGAATGGCCCTCTTTGGGTACAAATTCAAGTTCATAAAAGTAAGGAATAGAATAAATAACAAGATCATGAAATTTGGTCCAACTATGATCAATGAATTTCTATTCTTTCTTTATTCTATCTTCTATTTCTTCTAACATTGGCTGCATGAGTTGATGTGCTCACTTCGTAAAAGAGCTCTTCAGCCTTTATCTCGAATGCTGTTTCTCTCAATCCTTGTTCCAATTCGTCTATATCCAAGTCATCCCAGTACACAAAATCTTTATTCTTGAAATCATCGAATTCTTCAATGACGTTCTCTGCTTCGTACTGGGCATAAACTCAAAGGGACGAGAGTTGGTTTAAAGATTGTGTAGTGGCCATAGAGGTCCGATGCCAGTGGAGAGCAATGGAAGTTGGTCCAAAAACATGTGAAGCTCTGCTTGGGCGAGGGGATTGAGGACATGACCCCGAGTCAGGATATCACAAGCCCATCGAAGGTTCTTGAGACGGACTTCGTCCTCAAGAACATTGAAGGGCAAGTGAGAGAAAGTCACGGGCAGAAGTTGAGCTTGCTTCCCCTCAGCTGGAGAAAGGGAAGGTGGAGGTTTGTAAAGTGGAAAGACCTTATCCATGGAGAGGGCAAGCCTCAGTCTCTTTGTCCAGCAAGGATTTGGCGGAGAAGAAGGTGTGGATGCTTCTATTTCAGGAGATGGAGCAAGGGCAGAAGGAACAAGGGCATTAATATAATCAAGCCAGTCAAAAGAACAAATTTTTGCCTTCTAGGCTAAGAATGATGGATTGTACTCTTGTGCCTCTTCGAGGCATCGGGCAGCATGCACTATCCTTGGAGGCATGGAAGATGTATACCATGCTACAAGTAGATTTTCCTCCAAACTACATCGATGATCGATGGGTACGTAAGGATAGACCACTGAGCTTCGCGTATAGGAAGGAAACTCTAAAGGGTCAGTAAACTTGACAAAGTGATGGTTGATCCACTCCCTTAAATCACAGGCCTCAGGTTTTGACCAGTGTGTCCAGTTAGAAGTCCTAGAGAAAGAAGAAACTGCAGCCTTATCCCATGCAGAGGGTTATGAAGAAGAACTTCCCATGTCCATATTTACAACTTTCTGAATCAAAGGATTGAGAGCAGTTCGTTCGTAGTCCAAGGGTGAGTCAGAAGAAGAGTTTTCCATGTCCATATTTGTAAGTTTCTGAATCAAAGGATTAAGGGCAATGTGTTCGTAGTCCAAGGGTTGATAATTGGCAAAGGCATCCATGACTTGAATATAGAAAGGTGGGTAAAGGTGACTAATTAATGCATGGAGGCTCTTTCGAGGAGGGACAGCATCATCAGATGACTCTTCGTGTGCTCGATCAATGGGGGAGGAAATTGATTTGGCCATAAAAATGTATCAGTCTGTTCGAATACTAAGGTAGTGGGGGTGTTCAAAAGATTGAAGGGGAGTTAATGTAGATGATGAATGGCAGTTACATTTCTAGAAGAATGCAAAGCCCATGCACATTCTAAGATGTGGGTAAAAGACCTTGATCCACTAATATCACCAAGTATTGGGTATATTAGTGCGGGGGGTAATGTTGGCTACATATTTTGTACAAGCCAATTACAATTCGACGCGTGGCAGAATAAGGGTAATACAAAAAGACTATTCAAGTCTTCGATCCTGATCGTACATGTGGCAGTTAGTATTGGTTATTACGAGATCTAAGCAGCAGTGAATCAACAAAGAGATGCAAGGTGATGTGGCTTCAACGGTTACTCACATTTAAATTCAAATTTAGGAGGGAAGTCTAACTGCAAGTAATGCCATAGTGGGCTAATTACAAAGCAACATGATCAGCGGTCATGGAGGAGCAGTTCAACGGTTGGAAATGCAGTTCGATGGTCATCCTCGAGAAGTATAAATAGTGGAGAAGGCCCCAGAAAAGCCCCCAGACTCAGATCCAAAAAACCAGTCTTATTCTACTTATTTTACATTTTCAGTTTTACATTTCTAGTCTTACATTTCCTATACTTTAAATTCCTGCATTGCACTTCGTTTATAGGAGTAGTTTCAAGTAGATTGTTGCTGTAAACCTCCACGAGGCTGAGTTTGGATCATTGTAAGTTTTTTCATGTTAATGAAACACTTCAATTGTTCTTCATTTAATTGTTATTTTGCTTAATTCTCCTAAATCAAGCCACCAGTAAAAGTTCTCTTCTTGAGGCTGAAAGAACTAAAGCGCAATCGTCTGATAATTGGTTGGCAATTAATTTTCTGTAAGGACTGATTGATCCTTACTGGCACGCTCGCAATTACAATAATAACCTTTGAAAGCCAAAAAGCCAATAAATAATAATATACACAAGAGAAACTAAAAGAAGAAATTAAAAACCTCTTAGCTTAGAATAATCTTACATTTTCTACCAATACTCATGTACGAAGTCATATGATGCACTAGAAAGGTGAAACACTTTACCAAAGAGGTTTGAATGGCCTATTGACATTATAAATGGCATGTTAGCAAAGAGGTTTATCATCTTGGATGAAGTCATTTTAACCAAAGTGTCAAACACAGTACCTGAAGAATCAGCTTGGGGTGAACAAAATCCACGAGAAGCTTTTGAAACTTTCCCCGTATATAAAATAATCTGAAGAAGCATAAATGTGTGCTGTTAATCCTCATTTCATTACAAGCATTTCAAGAATGTCAAATTGTAATAAATGAAATTCTTCTTCTGTTTTTTTTTTTTCTCCCCTCAAGTGAATTTCTCATGTCCAAATTTATGGTTTAAAAAAAATCCCAGAAACCCTGCATAACAAGCCTAAACCTTTTGTTCACACAAGCCAAAGGCAGCAAATTTATTGTTCAATATCCCACTTGTGTGCTTTGCATGCTTCAAGAGCCATAATTGCTTTCCTAGGGTTTTGCTTTGACTTTGTAGTAATCTTAGCAGCAAAACTCATCAGTAGATCAAAGTCTTTCCTTCCTTGCTATCTGAATAAGAACCTCCATAATCTGCAAAATTGTGGGGGAGAAGAGTCAAAGAAAATTCAGGGTACAATATGAGATTTTAGCCCCAGAAGATTCCCCAGCAGACTGCATACACTGCACATAGTGAATGGACCTAAAGACCAACAAAATCCCTCAATATTTCTATATTTCTATATATTTGTAGTATTTGGATTCCTGTTAACAATTCTATGAAATATTTTTGATTAAAAGAATCAAGATACCAATCCCAACCATGTTAGGAACCCATAAGAAATGAGATTAAAATTTTCTAAAAACATCAATTGACTCTTCATGGCTTCCCAAATTAACTCACCAAAATTTTTCCCTGGAATCATTTTTCTAGAGATTATCAGCTATGTTTATAATATGTGTGCTGATTGCAGGTCGGTGTCTAGATGTTGGATTCATTTAATTCCCATTTTTTTATTACATAAGAAACATTGAATTGTCGATTATCCATTATCTTTCAAAGTGATATGAAGTGTTCCTATGGCCATCAACCATGCACACCATCAAGAAAGAAGAGGATAATAGTATAATGTAAGGAGTGTCATAAAATGCAACCAAGAAACAACTTACTTTATGAGTCACAGGAGCATCAACCTCAATAACTTTGCAGCAATTTTTAACTTGTTCAAGAATGTCCACATCATCTTCACAGCAGAGTATGAGTTTACATGAATCTGTGTAACAGTCCACGATCCATTTTATCAAGTGCTAAATGTTCTTGGAAGCTTTGTCAATATCAACGGCACTGATGAATACGCTCAATCCAAACTAGCCAACATATTGCATACCAAGGAAATCGCAAGACAGCTTAAGGTAAATATATATATACATATTTTAATTTTTTTAAATGCTGTGACATTTTTGACGACCAAACATCATTTATGTGAGACAAAAACAAAAAAAAGGATAATGTTTTCTATCTTTTGATTCTGTCTCAGTGAAAAGTGTTTTTGTTGTTACAGTCAAGAAATGCAAGAGTAACCATAAATGCAGTACACCCAGGAATTGTGAAGACTGGCATCATCAAAGACCACAAAGGATTTATCACAGGCATGTATTATTTCCATCATTAAAACTCTGAATTTTTTTTGGAGATGAAAGATGAAAATAAAATTTTGATCTTTCTGCTCCATTTTTCTTACAGATTCTGTGTTTTTCCTCACATCACTATTCACTTCACTCTTAAAAACAAGAAAAACATAAAGATACAAATTATTATTGATACAATGTAAGATTAAGGAAATACGAGTAGAAATTATTGTACACTGATGTGCATATACATACATAATATATAAATTAGGGAAAGTTGAGTTTTGATGAAATTGCTAACCGGGAAGAGAAACAAAAAAAAGGAAATCAATACAAAATGAAAATAAGTCTTGAAATTTAATAAAAAAATTCAAACTTACGCATATATGCTCAGTGTGATTGGACAAACTGAACTATGCAACAAACCCTATCTCCTAGATTCTCACCCCACCTCCATAATCCCACTTATAATATAAAAACCTGTGTGTATATCCCAGATCAAATAGAAAAAAACCCAAAAAGGTATACATTAAACACTAATTTTTTAAAAAAAGAATAAAAATATTAGTTTCACTAGAATTTAAGCCTTTTCCTTATTAAAATCGAACTTAACCAAACACTGAAAAATTGAAAAAGCTATCTCTTAACCTCTGTTTTAAATTAAACAAACCAATCTGTGAGAATTGATAGACTAATCTAAAAGATAAAAACAGAGCAACATTATTTCAAATGAGATTAAAAAAAAGCCATCTTAAACCCTATTTTTAATTTACCTAATCAATCGAACAATGTAAAAGATAAAAACTGAGGCTATCTCTTAAACCCATTTTCAATTAACCAAACTAATTCGAGATAACCAATCGACCAATCTACAAGATCAAAACTTCAACTTAGTGAAAATACATTACTAAACCCATATATATCATATTTTCAGCTTAATATTTATCGCTTTGCAGAAACTTCAACTTAGCACTCTCTACAAACAATTTATGTAGTATGATGTCTCATGCTTATGACATAGCAAAGCATGGGTTATTGAAACAAATGGATGAAACTAATGTTTTAAAGAGTAAACCCAACCTCAATACTCTTAGAAATTTGGGGAATATGACACTAGATTCCAGTGCTTTTTATTTCTTTCCTTTTTTTCCTATAGTTTAACTATAAAGGCAAACTTGATTTTAAACCACAAGAGAAAGAAAAAAAAAAAGAGAGTAATAGTTTCCTTAGCCATTTTGATTAATGCAAGAAGTAAGACTAAGCAAAAGCAATTATGGAAAAATTCAAGTGGAACCAAATGTTGATGCCTCATCAAGTGGAACCAAGTCATTCACATTTTTATAAGCATGTTCTTCAAATTTTCCACCAAACCCTGCTCATGAAACAGGGAAGTTAATCACATTTGAATCAGGACACTGATGACAGAAACAACAATGTAATTTACTTATCTTAAAAGGCCATAATTGAGCAAATACTCCTAATGAACTAGTGATGGAGCAAGAACTTTTTGTTCTTTTCTTTCTTGTTTTCTTTTACTACTTTTTATTTATTTATTTATTTTGATTGTTAAAGGTTTATTATGCCCGACAATTTCCAAAGACAAAACTTAGGGATTTAGTCTACAGAGCATAGCCTTGGTTAATTGGTTCCAAGGACAGATTAAGATCGTGTTTAGATCTTGGATTTGGGTAGGCAAAGGAAATGGGAAGGAAACTATTAATGAATCATAAGCTAATTTTGTTTCACATTGTCCACTACTTTTCTTTTCCCTCCTCAAATCCCTATCCAAATTCATGACTCAAGCACAACATAAGTGGAGTGTTGCTGATTGAAAATTGACATCATTAGTGCAATCATTGCTCTGTACTCACACAACTATATTTTTCCTGAGTATATTGCATAAGTGGAGTGTTGGGATGTGTTTTAAAATTGACCTAGCATGCTGCCTCAAATAAATGAATGTCATGAGTATTTCATAGGTCAAAATGCAATTGCATTAACATGGGGTCCAAAATTTTCTGATGTTGAACAGTAAAGGCCTAGGTAACATGATGCAATTTTGTGAGATCTCGAATCTTAGCTAAAGGTTTGATTTTAAAATAATAATAATAATAATTAACAGCGATTTTAATTTGAAATCTAAAAACAGAGTAAAATTAGCATGAATTCCAATCACTGTGCCCACTGATGTTCAATGGGAAAATGTTTGGTGTAGAAGCATTTTGTGGTATTTTACACGTTCATGCACAGTTCAACTAACCACAACAAGAAAAACCGTAAAACAAGATCTATTAGTATATATTTTGGAGAAACTAGAGTTAAGCTGCGATTTAAATAAATTTCAGGTTAGGAACGCGCACCATCTGAAATACACAATCCCCAAAGAACTATCACGACCCCAAACCGCCCCTAGTAGTTTGGTGCCGTGATGGCCAGTAATACGAGATTACCGAAGGCCAACCTCCAAGATTCACACACAACAGAGTATAATATATGGGGCTCACAAGTACGGAAGCGATGCATACAAATCAGATTAGTCCATAAGAGCTGTGCATAAGTCAAATGAGATAGCAACCATTCTTCACATGGGTTACAACTTAATTACAAATGAAGCAAGGTACAAATTACATCTTACATTTTAACAAAGGCTTCACAAGCCGACACAAGCAAAATGTACGAACTACAGGTCAAGGAGCATAGTCTGCTAGATTGCCGATATCCTTGTTGCCGACATAACATACATACAAAAACACACATCTTGATCAAAAGGCTTCTCGAGCCGACGTATGCAACATACAAGTATTACAAATCGAGAAGCATAATTTTCAAGACTGCCGAGATGAATACAAGTCAAGTCGACATAACAAAAATCCCAAAACAAGCTCCTGAATCACATCTAGGCGTCACCGCCCTCTTGCTCATCACCTACATATATATAGAGAGGGTGAGCTTGGATACTCAGTGAATGGTATAAATAATAAAGAGGTTTGCATGAATAATAGCCGAAGTCCTTACAAAACAATACAAGTCAAAACTTTATATAACAAGGGATGGACCTCATCCATCTAACAAATCTTCAAAGCTTCAAGGGATGCTTACTAGCATCAACATATTACAAATGATAGCATTCCAGCAAGCATATCCACGCGGTAAACCGTCAGTGGAAAAACAAGACAAGGCAAGGGAGATATCTTAAACAAGGGTGCTACGAAAGTTTAGAGTCCTCTAGCACAAGGGACCTATGTTACAAAAGCCCGTAGCCCTTTAACACGAGAGTACTACGAAAGTTTAGAGTCCTCCAGCATAAGGGACTTTCAAAGCAAGATGTGCTGCGAAAGTTTAGAGTCCTCCAGCACAAGGGCACAAGGGACTTTCAAAACAAGATGTGCTGCGAAAGTTTAAAGTCCTCCAGCACAAGGGACTTTCCAAAGAGGTCATCAAAGCAAGTATAATACAAGATACAAAACTAGGGACAATCATTCATGCTTAACAAATACTTTTCAAAACAAAGCAAAGCAAAGCTCATCAAAATATTGATAACATAGCTTTACTCAAAATACCACTCACATAGTTCTGCAAACGTCGGGGTCAAGGCAAGTCCAAGTCCTACAAATACATGGCAAAGCCTATTGAATCCACTACTCAAAACAAGTCTAGCATACATGCAAATGACTTCGGCATTCTTCAAAACTAAGTCAAATCAAATCAAAACACAGTTTCTTATCTTTGGAAAAACAAGCTGGGCAACTACCAGGTCTAGGCTGAGGTCCCACACCTCCTTGCCGAGGTGTGGTCTTGATGGCCACATTCAAAAGCAAAGTCAGGAAAATCTGGGTTTCCCTCTTGATAAACATGAAGAACATGAACATGAGGAAGATGAATGCA